GAATCATAGGCAAAGAACATCAAGAGACACGGGAAGAACAACAAGAATCATAGGCAAAGAACATCAAGAGACATGGGAAGAACAACAAGAATCATAAGCAAAGAACATCTAGAGACATGGGAAGAACAACAAGAATCATAGGCAAAGAACATCTAGAGACAAGGGAAGAACAACAAGAATCATAGGCAAAGAACCATTAAGAGACATGGAAAGAACAACAAGAATCATAGCCAAAGAAACATCAAGAGACAAAGGCAAACAATTTTAAAACAGTTGGGCACACGATATCAAGAAACGTGGTCATAAACATAAACAGACATGGGCCGAAAACATCAACAAACATGGGGACATAACAACTAGATACTTGGGCATTCGTTACGATATAGGAGCACACAGCGACAATAGACATAATCGCATAACATATTGATACATTGGAATACAGCATCAAGAAACTTAGGCATCCACTGTTAAGACAGCTAGGCACACAACATCAAGATACACTAGCACACAGCATCAAGATAGGTTGCCAGACATCAATAAACGGAATGGGAAAAGTCTGGTGCGTGCTTGCTGCAGATTTGAATTACGCAATGCTCGAGATTCGTTAGAAAAAAATATTTAACTCAAGGAACTTTTTCATTATTTCAGTGAATGATACGGTCAACGCCACACCGGTGGCACTTATTTCACAGGACATTTTCTAGAACCTTTTTAGACTTAAAATTTAAAAAAAAAATGGGGAGGGGGCTAGAAGGGAAGAAGGGGGTAGATGTGGTAAAAGGGGGCGGAAGAGAAAAGGAGGTCACAGAATATTAGTTTAAAAAAAAATAAGAATAAGAATAATGATAATAATAAGAAGAAGAAGAAGAAGAAGAAGAAGAAGAAGAAGAAGAAGAAGAAGAAGAAGAAGAAAAGAAGAAGAAGAAGAAGAAGAAGAAGAAGAAGAAGAAGAAGAAGAAGAAGAAGAAGAAGAAGAAGAAGAAGAAGAAGAAAGAAGAAGAAGAAGAAGAAGAAGAAGAAGAAGAAGAAGAAGAAGAAGAAGAAGAAGAAGAAGAAGAAGAAGAAGAAGAAGAAGAAGAAGAAGAAGAAGAAGAAGAAGAAGAAGAAGAAGAAGAAGAAGAAGAAGAAGAAGAGTAGGAGGAGGGGGAAGACAAAAAAAAATAAAATATGAAGATGATGATGGTGTTAATAATGATGCGGCAAGACAACCGCAGCCGTAAAAACAACAACAATAAGAACACCAAATTCAAATATATCAGGTGGTAAGGAGAATAAATAAACTATCTCAACGAGCATTTGTAATCCGATTCATCAGTCAACGAAAGTCATAAACCTTCAAATCTATCTACAAGCAGAAATATCTGAACTAAATTTAATTCACGTGACAATATTACCTTAGACTGAGTAGCACCCCCAGCTCCAGGTTTCCCGCAGCATCGAAACGCCATTCTGTCCCCAGGGACGAACCAAGATCAACTGAATAAGTTTATGATCAACTGTCTCCTGGAGTGTGGCGGAGTCTGTCAGGAAACTAAAAATCTTCACTCCACTTTACTTAAATACTGGAACACAACAAACCGTTTAAGAGTGTCTGGGCAATATTTGTTAAAGAATTGATATTGAGAATACTAAAATATTTACTTGTATATATTATATTACAATTGCCTATTTATTTTATTTTTTTATCAAAATGTTATTTATGGAGAATTTGTCGTCAGTGTATATTCTTTCCTTGCCTTGCACGGTTATTTTATAATTTTTATAATAATACATTGGTCATCAGTTCTAAGCTTGTTGCAGTGTTTATGATCCGGGGTTTACCTTTTTTTTTTTTTTGCATTTTGTGGCGAGGTGTGCAACGACAAGGTGCGCATTTAATACATAAATGAATCATTCAATCTAGAAAAGGAATGGAGTGACGAATGAATGAACGAAACAAACTTACACAGTGTTCTTGTCCAGTTATATACTTTTCTTGCGATCCTTTCGTGATAGATTGTGGACGGCGTCAGGTGATGAAACTTGAACACATACAGAACGAAGCTATGCGGGTAATTTTGGGATGTACAAGAGACACCCCGGTAGTATGTATTTGATTTATCCTTGCACTGCATACTATTGCAGATAGGCTCAAAGTGCTCCAAACAAAGTCATATCTTAAAGTAGCTACAGATCAGAAGCACCTTCTGCATAAAACCTTAAGCAGAGCTAAGGGTCCCAGACTGAGAAGTGGTGAAGTATTTGATGATGGGGCAGACTGCAGACACAATTAGACATATGTTCAGCCCGATAAATTTTGGCGAGTTGAGGAGTGGGTCCAAGGGTCACAGCAGGTATCAGACTTGTGTAGGGTTAGAATCACTTTAGGTCGTGTTCATAGGAAGAGCGAATGGACGTCGCTTAGTGCAACAAAGCCTCGCATGTGATGTCACAACGTCTAGTTTGAGAATAGAGGTGGAGGCAGTCACTGCTGCATTCCGCCCTGTTGAGAATCAGCTGCACAAACATACCGTAATTGTAACTGACTCACAGAGCATGTTGATGAAGACGGAGATAGGCATGCTACGTGCAGAGTGGCAAGCATCTATTTAGAGGTGCAGGCTATTTAGCGTCCGTTCAATTTTTTCTCAAAGTAATGTTGGGAAACAACAAGGTAGATAGACTGACAGGTTCTGCACAGTTTGGTGATCAAATGCTTTATGATAAGTTTTTGGAACAAGTGAACAGTGCTGAGGCACAAATAGATCTTTTCGATCTGAAAAGAATGGAGCAGCGAAGAGTTATAAGAGGATATGGCTGGAGCAAGAGACTCAAAGGAAAGGCGGGACGGATACACAGTCAGACAGTTACTGATGCCATCGGAACTGGAACTCTTCGATTGCTGCTGAAGATGGGTACGGAGCGATTATCAGTGACAGTCAAAGTATCAACGACATCAGGTACAAAAGATCAAATTAGGACATGACATGCTAAGGAAAAATGCACCTTTCGCGACAGATATTTGAAGGCAGAGTTGTTGCAGCTTGTGGGGAAATCAAAGAAGACATATATCACAATGACAAAATCATTAATGAATTAGTTTAGTACTAGCTCTGTCCCAACTTATTTTCTGAAATCGTCATTTCTGACATTGTCTTTTCAGGTTAATTTAGGCTTCATTGTAAACATTTAATTTGTTGCGATATTTCTTTTTTTTTTTTTTCCTCCTAATTGTTGTTTATGTCCTCCTTTGACACTTATTACAAAATGTTGGTAAAAAAGCAGGCTTGGCCAGATAAAATCAAGGAGTACTGTCAACGCTGTTTATTTCCAGTACTTTCTTTGGAACAAAACAGCGCCGACAGTAGGTTTTCGACAGTGCCACCTCTACCTTAGTGGCAGCCTCTTATCTTTGAGCATGCCCACAAACGCCAAACATCGTGTCGTCGGGTCGCTTGAACTGTGAACCATTCAGTTTCACATCATGAAAACAACATCTAGTATAAGAATAGAGGTAGAGGCGGTAACTGCAGCTCTTCGGTGGCTAGAGAATAAGATTCATTCACAAGTCGCAATTGTAACTGACTCTGAAGGCCTGCTGGGAAAGGTGAAGACGGGGATGCTTCGAACAGAGTGGCAAGCTTCATTGGGTAGGTCACGGGTAGTGAGCATACTTTGGATTTGTTCTATAGGCTATGCCGGTATAATGGGTAATGAATAGATAGACAGATCGGCTGAATCTGTACCACTGAGTGGTGAATTGATATATGGCAAGACAGACTTTTAACCAGATTGTGACCGGTACCATCAGTATTGGAACCCTGCGCTGGCTGCTGAAGATGAGGACGGAGCATGCATGGAAATACCCCGAGTGCTGTGATGTCAATTCTTGACTCAACTAAACTCAACTAAATTGTGCTAGTATAAAACTGAGCTGAGTTTCAAGAACTGATATCACTGCACTCGGACTATCCCATAAGCACTCCGTTAGCATCCTCAGCAGCCAGCGAAAACGTACAAGTGTAAAGAAAGAATAAAAATGGAAGGGACGGGACTGTATATTGCATGTTACCGATAACATAGAGTGAAAATAGAGGGTGCTGTAGATCCACAGTGCCTGTATACGTGCCGTCGCTGCTTTACATAAAAGTAATCCGTTGTATGCATACGACGAACACGTTAAATTAGGCGTAGACGCTGGATAAGACGAACATGCTGAATAAGTGTAACAAACGAAACGCAGACCAGGCATTTCAAATCTATTTCATTCCCATTTCAAAAATGGAAAAGAGACATTTAATAGACTAAGACACAACCATCTCTGAACATTGATACTAGCTACAAATAGTTTATAATAAAAAAAAAGTAATTTATTAGACATCGCATATTTGACAAGACAAAGATGAAAAGGAAATGAAGAAGGGTTAAATTAACCAAGGGTTAACATGAGCAGAAGAAAAGCAGACCGACAGCAATGGAGATCATTTGTGAATGGTTTATGAGGCTGCTTCAAATAAAAACTTTAAAGTAATTAGCATGCCCGTGTCTTGTAATCTGTCTTCATTGTTGTGAAGGATGTCAACCGTGGGGCGGTCGTCTTTAAGCAGGTCCTATGAGACCACTGTATTGACGCTACCAAGTTCAACAGCCTGATAGCCTGCTCATTTCGTTGCCTGCCTGTGTGCGCTGGCCCAAACATGAAACTGACCACCTCGGAGATTATAAT